ACCTTCTGACTCCCAGACCTGTGACAGAGCAAATTTATGTTGTTTTAAGCCCTTAATTTTGTGGTAATTTGTCATGGCAGCGGCAGGAAGTTTCCATGTATATATATGTATACATACACACACAGACCCACACACTTTACATATGTATGTCTATGGACACACACGTATTTGTTAAATCAACGAATGCAGCTGTGTTCCCAGCCAGGCCTTAGAGTATCCTGCAAGAGTTTCCTTTCTTTTTTTTCCCCGCAAGTTAATAATGACCTTGTTTCTCCATCTGCCTTATTTTCTCTGCACCTTCTGCCGATTGCTGCTTCACCTTCTCAGCGCTGTCGGCGGGCTCTCTGCAAGGGCAGTCACGTCACGTAGGACATGTTTTGGCTCCAGTTCTCCAGTTTCCGCTGTCTGGGCAGGCGACACGTCCTAGCGGCCATTCTGGGACTTCCTTTTGCGGTCCTCCTTGGCATTCCCTTTGCCTTCTTTCTGGTTGGAGTTCCTGTTTTCTGGATCTCGTGTCTTCCTCTTGTTTGGTTTACTCCCCCTCCTGGAGCACATGCTCCAGGACAGGTACCTGTCAGTATCCGAATCAGTTCCGTTCCCGAGTTTGGAAGGCGGAGTGCGAACAGTGAGGAGCACCTGTGGTTTTGTCGGATTAAAAAGACCCTTTGTTGGTCACGGGCATGGCGGCCACAGCACTTCTTAAGTCACAGTGCTTAGATCTGAACAGTGGCCCTCGATGGCTTCATCTGACCTCTTTTCACCTTAATCCCAGAGAATCCCTTCCTTTGTCTCGGGTGTCTTAGAGGACATCTGCTCGCGGTTCCAGAGAAAGGAGTGTCTGAAAATAACTTCAATCTACTATCGCACCTAAATGATTAGGCTGCGTAAAGAATTCTAATGGGAGAATTATTTTAAGAATTCCGAAGGTATTGGGCCTTTGTCGTTGTCGTCTTCTTCTTCTTCTTTTTTTTTGTTAAAGATTTTTACTTATTTATTTGACAGACAGAGATCACAGGTAGGCAGAGAGGCAGGCAGAGAGAGAGGAGGAAGCAGGCTCCCTGCTCAGCAGGGAGCCCGATGCGGGGCTCGATCCCAGGACCCTGAGATCATGACCTGAGCCCAAGGCAGAGGCTTTAGCCCACTGAGCCACCCAGGCAACCGGGTCCTTTGTCTTCTTGCTTTTCACATTAACGTTGAGCAATCTGAACCTCAGTATGTCACCCTTTACTCCCTCTGTGCCGGTCTGTAGGATCTGCTCTTCACACCAGTGTTCTGAAATTTCACAGTGGTGTGCCTTGTTGTGGGTCTGCTTTCCTCCCTTGTGCGGACATGCAGTGGGCCTTCTCAACCGGGCCACTTGTGTCTTTCACTTCTGGAAAATTCTCTTGCACTCTTTCATCAGTAACGTTCTCCCGTTTTGTTTGTTGTTGTTGTTTTGGCGGTTTTTGCGACTCCTGCTTTTTACATATGGAAACTTCTGGACCAGTTCTCTCTCTTTTCCATTCTCTCCAATTTTCATTCTTTTTCTGGTGCCCTTTGTGTTGAGTTTTGCGTCTTTACTAGCATGGTTGGTATTTCTAAGCTCTTTTTTGTTCTCATTTTAAACAGGACCCTGTCCTTGCTTCGTGAATGTAGTATCTGTGCACGAAGTGTGTCTTTCCCAAGTTGTGTTTTGGTTTGGTTTATTTGTTCTCGTCTCTATTTTCCAAGCCAGAGGCCTCCCTCAGATGTCTGCTGGTCCCTGCTTGTTCTGTACATGATTAAGAAGAGGGGACTGGGAGCTCTGGTGCATGATGGTGGACTTGTTTCCTGGCAGACCACACTGGTTGGCCCACACAAGCCATTTGGACACCATTTGGGCTCTGGGTGCAGCACCTGTATCTGTAGTCTTTTCCTCTCGGACTGGCAAGATGCTCCAGAAGGGAAGAAGGTAAGGGTCTGGCTACCAGGGTTCGAGGAGCCCAGTGGGGGAAGAGCTTGGGGGCACTCAACACCAGTATTTAAAATAACCTTCATCTCCTTGATTTTGATATATTACTGTGGCTCTCCACTGCTCCCATCAGCTCTGTGCAAAGACCCCGGGTTCTGTGCTCCCCGGAGGGTCAACCGTCAGACTTCTGGGGGAGGGGGTCTAGGGCTTTTCCTTCTTTCATTCAGTCTGCTTTATTTTCACACATGGGTCCTCTCCACCCCTGGCCTGGGAGATAGACCGGTGCTATTGCCTCCATCTTTTAAGGATTCTTGTTACAAAGGAGGTTTGTTTTGATTTGATTTTAATTTGCAAGCAGTTCTGTCTGAAATCTGGCCATCACAAGTCTGCTTTCCAGACCCCAGAATTTCGTTGGTGGTGTCTCCTCTTTGTTCAGCCCACTCATGTGACTGTACGTCTCTTAAAAAGCTTTCTACCAAGTTGGATTTAGAAGGTAGTGAAGCTGGGTGTGCATATTCAAAATCCCAGTCCTTCTTCCACAACAGTTTTGCAATTGGAGTAGTAATAATGGTGACAGTGTCAGGTGTGATACCAAGACTTTTTTATGATGGGATTCCTTAAACGTTGGTGAAAGTTATTGTCAGAAACATTATTTATGCCCCCCGTGGCCATTAGAAGTATAAAGGAGGAAATAAAAGCTACCTGTCATGGTGGTAGGGTTCTTGGCGTGGGTTTTTCTTTGGTGGTGGTTCTTGTGGTACAGCCCTTGGTGTGGGTGAGAAGGGTGCCTCAGTGCCAGGAACAGCAGAGCGATGCTTGGCAAAGGACCATCACGGTGGACACAGGCTGCTATGTTGGGACCATGGGCTTTGGGGCAGGTCTCTCCCAGCAGTAGGGCTGCTTGAGAGAAGGAAGCTTCTAAGGCCAGTTGGGAAGCGCTGTGTCAAGTCCTGGACCATGGCCACCACGGTGGGCCCCCTGGCATTGTGCAGCGCATGGCCCGCCTGGCCATATGCCAGGTTTTCAGATGGTTTTCAGTGATGCGGGGTGACTCTGAGAACACTTTCTGAGGAACCTACAGACTGACCCGGGTCAGCTGAGTTTGCTGTGAGGTGAGCACACACCGCTCAACTATCAGGGGGATATATGGAGGAAGGGGAGGGGGAAAGAGCATTTCCCTTCCTTTCCGGGGTGTCTGCCTTCAGGGTCAATGCCTTGTGATGTTCTGCTTTTCCCTCCTACTTCCTTCCTCTTCTCACTGGCAATCAGAGGTTCTCTGAAAGTTTTTTTTTTTTTCTTCCCCTCACAGAAGTTCCCTGGATATTTCTAGGCCACAGGGCAGTGCTGAGACAAACAGCTGGCAGAAGGTTATCTGCCTCTACTTTGTGCCTTCTTGGTCTTCATGGACTCCATGTTGGGGCTCTGGGACTCTGAGGGTGTCCCAGCCTTGTCTGCTTCTTCCCTTTGCCCTCGGTGCCTCCAACAGCTTGGCAGGGCAGGGCTAGAGGACGCCTTGTAGATCATGTCATCCAACGCCCATTCCATGGATGAGGAAGCTGAGGGCGAGAAGCCTGAGGCAGGACTAGAACCCACATCTGCTGACACCAGGTTCAGTATTCTCTCCAACCAGACTCTGCCTCTCTTAGCTTCCACATCCTTTTGAAGGTTTTGATGTGGGGGGTGAGGGGGTCATTGGACTTGTTTGTGCTAACAAACGGTGTGTGGGTTTGAAGGGAAGTCGCCGGGCCGATAATGGAGGGAAGCCTCATGGAGTTCTGGGTTGGACCCTTTCTCCCATGGACTGTTGAGAGCTGTTTCTGGGTGCTGGTGTAAGTTGGGGGACGAAGCTTCCCAGAGATCGGCCTCAGAACTTTAGTGAGAGAGATCTGGATTCAAGCCTGTGCTTGACCTCTGGAGTAGAGACGGATCCTCATCTTTCTGAGCCTGAGGTTCCACTGTAAACTGTAAAAGAGGGAGAGTAAGAGTACTACCAGCTTTCCAAAGGAGGGCAGGCAGGTTTAGCACCGCCTCTGACGCAGAAAGCAACACTCTCTTTGGAGAGACGCGAAGAGCAGCGGGCGGGCGTGCATGGAGCCCAGTGCCATGCTGGGCTGAGAAGCGCGAGTTGCACCTGGAGCTTCCTTAGGGCTCACCTGTGGGGCTTGGGGCACCTTCAGCCGGGTGAGGTTTTAACTCTCCTGTCCAGGCCCTAAGGAGGCTCCTCCCAGCTCTAGCCTACCCCTCCACACCGGAGGCAGACAGCGCCCACCTCCCAGGGAAGTGCCTCCCTGGGGAAGGGGCTGCGCCCCTGGGAGACCCAAGCCTGTGCTTTCTCCAGTGCCTGGTTTTCCAGGGAGCCTTGGCTGGAGGGGGATGGGAGAAGAAGCCCAAGAGGGAGGGGAAGCCGGGGAAGCAGAACGGGAACTGGAAGGGGAAGGGTGTGGGTGGGCCCAGATCCAGCTGCCTCCCACTTTCCTTCTCCTGCCAATCCCCTCCCTGCAGGCGGGTGCACTGGAGGCAGGGGCTTGGCCCGAGTTTCCTCCTGGGGGGTGGGGAGCCGGAGAACTCAGTGTCTGTGAGCAGGGGGTGTTGAATCCGCAACACCCCCACCCCTAGCTGAGGCCTGCGGCAGGGGCTTTGTTATTTTACTGGCTTGAGGCCCGCACCTGAAGCAGGGAAGATGAAAAGCCCCTAAAATTAAGCTGTGTGGGTGTGGAGGGCCCCCTCGAGCCCCCCAGTTTCCCGAGGCAAATGGGGCCGATTCGTGGGGTTGGGGGGAGAGTAGCGAGGCCTGGGCTGTGTCCTCTCCCCACCAAGACGGCCTCTCAGCAGCACTACAGACCTAGGCCTTCAGCCTGGCCACAGCCGAGTTCAACCTCAGCTTTCTCTGGGCCCAGACGCTGGTTCTGAAGTGAGGTGACATTCATTTCACTACATCCTGTGACTGCTGCTCACTTCCTCCACGTGGTGGGAGCCGTGTGGGGGTGGGGGCGTGAGGGGAGGACAGATTAGAAGGAAAATGTAGCAGGGCTGGGGACCTCTGGGATTTCCCAGGGGGTGGCTGGGTGGGAGGGAGGGTGCGGGAAGCTTTCAAAGGAGAGAACAGACGTGAATGAAGAGAAGGGAGGAGGCAGGAGGCCGCTGGAAGGCCCAGAACTGGCGCCCACTGTACCACAGCAACGCGGAGGCCCGGGGAGACTGCTGGTGCCTTGGAGGCAGGAGGAGGCCCTGAGGGAAGCCAGGCAGGACCCTGCCAGCTGAGTCGGCCTCAGTTTCCCCCGCTCTCTGGCAGGCTAGGCTGGTCCGAGCTGCCGGTGAGCCTGGGAAGAGGAGTGAGTTCGGAGGAACAGGCCTCACGGGGCGGCGTGGGGCTGACTGGGGGTGGGTGGGTGTCAGGTGGGGCCCGGGTTGGGGTTGGGGGTGCCCTGCCCTGCTAACCCCTTTTGTCTCCCCCCACAGGTGGAGCTACTGGAAGCCCACACCCCACAGCCGGAGGCAGAGTTTCACCGGGATCTATGTCTAAGTTCTAACTCTTGCTGACAAAGACCACGATAATTCCTTCCCCAAAGCCCAGCAGCCCCCCAGCCCCGCGCAGCCCCAGCCTGCCTCCCACCGCCCAGCTGCCCGCCATGCCCTCCAGCGGCCCTGGGGACACCAGCAGCTCCGCTCCGGAGCGGGAGGAGGACCGCAAGGTGAGGGACCCTCTGGCCTCAGCCGTGGGAGGGGAGAGGGGAGGGGCCCTCCCCAGGTAATGACAGCCCTGATGACAGCCTTGGTGACAGCCCTGGCATGCTGAGCGCTGGACCGTGCAGCTCAGTCTCCACACTGGGCCATGGGGAGGGCTGTGTCCGTTTGGGCCATGGGTTGTAGACGTTCGGTCCTGGGGGTACAGCGGGAATTTGAAGCAGTCGCTCTGGGATCCAGGCTTTCTAACTCCCCCGGTGTCTGAGCAGAGGTTCAAGCCCCGGGTCTGTATGCAGTGTGGGGGGACAGCCTGGCAAAGTGTCCCCAAACCCAGCTTCCTTTCTGGATTCGCATCTACCAGCTCTGTATCCTCAGGGGGGTCCTTGACCTGTCTTAGCTGCCTCTGCTTCTGCGAGGCCAAAGGCAAGTTTGGGGAGGCTCCGTAGCTAGGAGGCCACGTGAGGGCTCCCCCTCTCAGAGCGCCAGGCACACGGTGACACCAGTCATCCTGGAGATGGTGATTTCCTGCCCCTCACCCCCACCCTGGGCTCTGAGTATCACTTCTGACCATGGAGCCAATGACGTCCTTGTTCTCGGAGCCCCCTGCGGGGTGAGCTCATCACCCTCTGTTGAACTCCAGGACGGGACTGAATCAAAGGAGATCCCAGCAGCCCTGTAGAGATCCCTGCTTGGCCGCGACAGGCTGCCTTGGGACCTCACCAAGCTGCGTCCATCTATAGGCAAAGCTGCCCTGAACCCCAACAGTTAGACTCTGTTTTCACTCTCTGTCAGTGAGATGGTAAACCCCACCACCTTTCTGGGGAAGCTGTGCTAGCCATAGGCCTTTCTGGGGTGTCTTGTCTGCTGTGCCCTGTTCCCCACAGTTCCCTCTGCCTGTTCCCCTTTTCCTGAGCAGGAGGGAGGGGTGGAGATGCTAGGTGGGGGGTATAGTTTGTCCTTCTGGAACCAGAGTGGACATCTGCCACCAGATATGGGCCCCCTGGACACTGCAAGGAGCATCCCATCTGCTTGCCCACCATCGGGGACAGCTCTGAGACCTGCCCCCTGCTTATGCTCCCTGATGTGCCCCCACGCGTGCTCAGCTCCTTCCTGGGCTCCCTCAGCCTTACAGCTTGTTTCTGTTTTCTGAGTGGTTTCCAGCCAGTTGGCTCTCAGGAACAACCCTTGAAATAAGTGGGGCAAGGACAGATGGCCCTCGTTTACAGATGAGGAAGCTGAGCCCAGCTACCCAGTGGTGGGTCCAGATGAGAGCCTGCTGGATCAGAACCTTTCCCACTGGATCAGTCCTTGTGTGGAGACATGCAGGTGTGCGCACGAAGCCCTGGCATCTGCCTCCGCAGCCTGGAATCATGCGGGATGCCCTAGTCGGGGGTGTATACCCAGCAGGTGGGGGAGAAAGTGCTTGCTGTGGTCCGCTGAGCCAGGCTCCTAGGGGCTGTGGGTCCCCTTCTTTCTGACCCCACAGAAAAAGAACAGGCAGTCCAGTTTATTCTCTGGGCCTTCCGAGCTACTCCTGTCTCAGGCAGCAGTAGACCCACACAGAGTCGGGGCCACCTGCGGCCGGCCACCTGCGGCCAGCCACCTGCGGCTCTGCAGAATTCCCTTCCGGTGGTCGGGTCTGTTTTGCTCCTCTATTGGATTAGGTGACCCTGAGCTCCCTACCCGGTCTGATGCCTGGACTCGTGCTGACAGAGCTCTGTGTCCGTACACTTGCAGTTGGTGATCAGCTGCCCCCCCCCCCCCCCCCCCCCAGGTGGGCAAGGTGGGGACAGTCAGGCCAAGCCTCTCTCGTTACCGGTGCTGCCCTAGATACCAGAGCCCCTGGCTCCCTTGCATGGAGAGCGGCAGAGCAGGCTCTCTGTTCTGACAGTTCAAGATCGAGAAAGAGCACTGGACAGAGTCAGAAGCCCCAGGTCCCAGGCCCGAGTCTGCCACTTCCTGGAGATGTGACTTCAGGCCATCTGGGCTCGCGTTTGCTCAGCTGTAAAGTGGGGATAGTAACTCTAGCTGTGCCTGTTTTACAGGGTGGTTGGGGAAGTCAGATGAGGTCATGGGCATGGAAATGCCCTGCAAACAGCAAAGTCTGGTCCAATTATGAGGGATTACGATTGCTATTATTATCTACCCATAGTAACTGTTCTGGCTCATGCGGCAACAAACACATACCCGGCCCCAGATCCTGGTGCTGATAGAGCGGGGCTCCTCCCCAGCTGCCCACGCCCACCGGGCGCACACTGGCTCACCTGGCCCACCTCCCCAGTCCCTCTGGGCTGGCTTCCGCAGCTCAGGGGAGCTGCCCTGGGAGCCGCCCAGGGAGCCTGGGCGGAGGGCGGGTAGAGACACTGCCAGTCTCCCACGGCAGCCGGAGAAAGCCAGGCCTGGGGCTGCGGTGCCATGTCACCGAGGAGGGGGAAGATGGGCTTGGGCTACCTACCGCCCAAGAAGCCTGGCCTAGTCGCCAGGAGCACCTGGCACTAAGGAACTGTCTGGTGAGCCAGATGGAAGGGGTGTGGCCACCCGCTGGCCCTGGGCCCCACGTGCCCTTCCAGCCTCCTTCCCGGCCACGCCTTCACGCACCTTCCACTGTGGTACTTCCTGGAACCTCCAGCCCTTTGTTTATGCTCCTTCCTCTGCCTGGTGGGCCCTCTCCCTGATTCTCACCGCTCCTCTCCGGTCAAAGCCCTTGTTGCTTTCGGTCTGCCTTGAATTACAGTTTGGAGGGGACCCGTGGTTCTTTTGAGAACACCGGTGGCTCCTGGAAAGGTTAAGAAATGCCAGTCAGAGCTTGTGGGGCTCGAGCCCAGCAGTCCTTGTTTTAGCCAGGCCTCTCTCTAGGGCATCTGAGAAGTACCGGTGTGGGCAACACCCAGCCCCACTGCTGCCCCTGGAGGGCGGGGCCTGACTAGCGTGGAGTTGGTGCTCAGGAAGTACCTTGTGGCTAGGGTTGGAAGGAAAATGAGAGCAGTAAGATCCCTCCACAGGGGAACAGCCCTGGGCCTCGATCAGGCAGGCTGGGTGCAGAGGCAGGGGTGAGAGCCAAGGAGCTCGCTTATGGCTGGAAGTGCACAGAGACGTCTGCCCAGCATCCATTCGTCCCGCAGCCTCCCCTACCCTGCTGTCCATGTTGGGTGGGGAGGGAACGAGCGGGGACGCTGGAACAATGCAGGTTTTGGGGGGCTGAGCGCTGGGGTTCTCACCAGGCTGGGTCAGCTGGGGAAATGTGGCCACAGTGGAGGGAGGGGGAGGTGGCTTTATGGGAGATGGGTGGGAGGTGACAGGGAGGCCTGTCCCTCCTAGGAGGCCAGGAGCCTGGGTGGGGTATCGGGCCCTGCACAGGGGGGAGGGGAGGGGGAACAGAGGGAGCAGGAAAGGAGAACAAGAGCATTCCAACCTTGGGGATAGAAGGGCCTCCTCAGATCCCCACATGTGAATTAGCGCCTGGCCAAGAGTTGAAGCCCCAGGCTGGACCCCCGATCGTGCGGCTCCCCGCTTTCTTTCCTCTGGCCTCAGAAACACAACAGCCAAGGTGCGCCGAGTGCGGACTCCCTGCCAGCTGCTACTTTAAGCTCTGCGTGTGATCTTAGTTTGATCTTATTCCGCTCTTAGGGTTGCTGCGTAAGGTAGGCTGTATTTTTCAGCACTCTATCTCCTGAACGACTAAATGCGTGCCTAGACACGTGGGGTCACTTGACTAAAGTCACACAGCCAGTGAATGCTCTTCTGGGGCCGTGGCACTCAGGCAGGCTCCCCCAGCCTTCCCGCCCGCATAAAGCCGTGATGCCCACAGCCCTGCCCATGGTGCTTCTGCTGCAGGTTCAAGGGTGTTGGTCCAGACTGGAAGTCGGGATGGTCAGAGAATGCTTTACTTGGTGTGGCCATGCTCTCGCCCTAGGGTTGAGGTTGGGGTGTGCTTCATCTCTAGTAAGAATTCACATACAAGACCAGCATGCGCGCACACACAGCGCACACACACACACAACTCACACACACTCCGGATACACACTCTTCCGTGAAGACAGTACCGTGGTCACACAGCTGCTTGCCCTTCTTCCCTCCCCGCCTGCGTGCCTCTCTCCCTCCCTCCTGCATTGTTTCTCTTTTCTCCTCTTCCTCTGTTTCCTTCCAGTTACCTTCCCCAGTACCAGCACATAGTAGGGCTCTGCAGGTCTGTCGGATGAACTGAATAAACATTCCTGGAGGGCCTAGTAAAGGAGAGGGGGTAGGAAGCTATAGGTCATGCCTACCGTTTGGAGCAGGGAGGCCTCTCCTGCCTAGATGGGGAGTAGAAGCGACAGGAAGGGTGCGGATTGATGTTGGGGGAGCACAGCCAGTGTGCTGTGTGCATGCATGAGTGTGAATGTGTGTGTGGCCAGTGCCGTGGCCGGGCTTCTCCCTCCTCACCCAAGGCCACCCCAGAGGCCTGGAGGGTGCCGACTTCCCTTGGGCACGCACCACTTCCTGTGGGCAGTACACAGGCTTGGGGGCACCCTGGGTGGGCTTCTCCCAGCTCCCTCTCCGTTGTTCTTGCTGGTCCATAGGTCTGTTGCCTGCTCGGGCACGCTCTGCCTTCATTACACTCAGATGCCCACACACCGTCGCTGAGGGCCAGCTCTTTGCTTTGTAATAGTCACTGTAGGGGTTGTTGAAATAGTAGCCCTCTTAGCACATTCAAGCAGTTACAGAAGAGGCCGCGTTCCCCTTCCCTCTTCAGGAGCCCAGTTAGGAAGAAGGGCGCATCCATTTTTAGCTCAGTGGAGTTGATAAGATGCTTGGGCACGTGCAGCAGGTGTGTGAAGCACACAGGGCCCGCCCCTGCGCTGACGGGGACCTGTGTGTTCGTGCTGGGATGCTCTAAAGTTCTCTGAGTTAGACAGGACAGGCATACCTCAGGGAGATTGCCGGCTCGGCTCGGATCGCCACTGTAAGGCGAGGATCCCAATGAAGCCAGTCAGATGAAATTTTTTTGACGTCCCAACGCATATACGTT